ACAAAACCGAGCTTGTTTTTCAATGACAATGCAATCAGCATTGCTCTACTCCATGATGTATAAATTTTCTTCGGTAAGTGGCTGAGAAACTAGTACCAAACCAGGGTTATCAGAGTGATGAAGGTAAAATGGATTGGAAGGTTCATCTAAGGCAGATTTGCTAGAAGATGATCTCAATTCAGCATCCATGATGACAAAAAGGAAGAAGAAAGAACACTCTGCGTCTGAATTTAGAAAAAGGATTGCAGCATATCAAGCAAATGCTCTGATACCGTATCAACGTTTGAAGAGAAGAAGAAGTGCTGAAATTAATTTCATTTATTACAAACCTTGTGATACACTACCAGCAATATACATAGACAGACTGAGAAATTGACTAACCAAAATTAGTTACACATGAGCTCATTACTAACTAACATGATAGCTTTATTACTAACTAACTAATACAATTATTAACAGAATTAGCTAGCTAGATTAGCTAGATGATCTAAGGATTTGAAAAGCTACTCCGACGGTCAAATGAATACTTCTTTACAGGGTATGTGAGCGCTAAATTTGCTTCCACAATCAGCTTAAAAGCAGCTACTACACCAGGAAATCTATTCTTATCAGGATGAAGAGTAAACGCAAGTCATCAGTATTGTTTCTTATTGGTGAATTTATCAGCCAACCTTTCAATCCCAAGGATTATATAGTCTATACCAGTCATTTTCAAATCCCCAAATCTCATTTTTAGCTGTAAAGTGAACATTACATATGGCCAGCATCTGAGTTATATTCTCAAGTTCAGGATAAAGATTTTGCGCTTTCAAAGTGATCTTTCGTGCCCCTTCAAAGTCATTTTTGTCCATCTTATTCTCCGTAATCTCTTTGGCTCGGGCAGCCTCATCTTTATTGCACTACATCCTCAATATAAAGTAGTAATAAGAAAATCCAGTAACCAAATTCCTCAAGAGTAGTAATACACAGAACGACGAATTCTCTTCCTGCTCAAACTAGAAAACTCTATAATGAAGCTTTCTTAGGCTTAAATCAAGCAAAAAAAATGTAAAATTTAACTCTATATAAAGCCTCTAATTAAAGTTTTCATCAAGATAACTAGATAAGGACTTTCGGGCGTCTCAGCAATGTACATGATGAGATCACTGTTTCGCGCGGTTGCTCGCCAACAATTAAAAAGGGATCAGACGATTGTGTAAGGGACAAACCTCTTGGAACAAAGTCCCAAAAAAGGGTGTTTATCGAATATGAAGATTACAGTTTGGATGCGAACAAGATGTCTCCAAGGGGCGCAAGCACACAAGTACAAGGAAATTGAAGTAATTAA